GTCGGTGATTGTATACAATGTATCTGTGTGTGTGTGATGTCGGTGATTGTATACAATGTGTGTGTGTGATGTCGGTGATTGTATACAATGTGTGTGATGTCGGTGATTGTATACAATGTGTGTGTGTGTGATGTCGGTGATTGTATACAATGTGTGTGATGTCGGTGATTGTATACAATGTGTGTGTGTGTGATGTCGGGGATTGTATACAATGTGTGTGTGTGTGATGTCCGGGATTGTATACAATGTGTGTGTGATGTTGGTGATTGTATACAATGTGTGTGTGTGATGTCCGGGATTGTATACAATGTGTGTGTGTGATGTCGGTGATTGTATACAATGTGTGTGTGTGTGTGATGTCGGTGATTGTATACAATGTGTGTGTGTGATGTCGGTGATTGTATACAATGTGTGTGTGTGATGTCCGGGATTGTATACAATGTGTGTGTGTGATGTCGGTGATTGTATACAATGTGTGTGAGTGATGTCGGGGATTGTATACAATGTGTGTGTGTGATGTCGGGGATTGTATACAATGTGTGTGTGTGTGTGATGTCGGTGATTGGACGGGGGATTGTATACAATGTATCCGGTGATCACACAGAGCCCCCAGCACAGTCCTCTTCCCCTCCCCCCACATGACTGACCTGTGTCCAGGGGCCCCCGGGGGCCACACTCCGCAGCCTCGGTGCCTCTCTCTCTCTCCAGCCTGAGCTTCGGGAAGTGCAGGAAGTTCTTCTCAGCTGCTGATTGGCTGAGGGGGCGTGGAGAGGAGGATTGTGGGAGTTGTAGGCTCTGCAGTCACATGTCCAGCCACAGCTGCTCCTCCGTGTACTGTGCACGGCTCAGCCATCCTGCCGGGGACTCCAACTCCCAGCATCCCATCTGATGGCCACAGGCTGGCAGAGCATGCTGGGAGTTGTAGTCCCCCCACAGCTCTCTTATAGATGATCGGACGTGTAGAGGGATTTATAGATCAGAAGACGGCGACAATCTGATGAGGATCCGACTTCCCCAAATCTCCTCCATACGAATGATGTGTCCCTCCCCCTGCCCCCCTCCCCCGTATCCGAGATCAGAGGGGGAGGGGCAGCTCCAGGAGACAACGCCACAGCCTCTGTCAGCATCACATCCTTCCTCACGTAATACAGACCGCTCTCTCTCTCTCCTTGTGCAGGGTGACTGGTCTTGTCTCCGCCCCTCCTGTAATAAAGACCGGTCACTGCTGCTCTCTCTTCTTGTGCAGGGTGAATGGTCTTGTCTCCGCCCCTCCTGTAATAAAGACCGGTCACTGCTGCTCTCTCTTCTTGTGCAGGGTGAATGGTCTTGTCTCCGCCCCTCCTGTAATAAAGACCGGTCACTGCTGCTCTCTCTTCTTGTGCAGGGTGAATGGTCTTGTCTCCGCCCCTCCTGTAATAAAGACCGGTCACTGCTGCTCTCTCTTCTTGTGCAGGGTGAATGGTCTTGTCTCCGCCCCTCCTGTAATAAAGACCGGTCACTGCTGCTCTCTCTTCTTGTGCAGGGTGAATGGTCTTGTCTCCGCCCCTCCTGTAATAAAGACCGGTCACTGCTGCTCTCTCTTCTTGTGCAGGGTGAATGGTCTTGTCTCCGCCCCTCCTGTAATAAAGACCGGTCACTGCTGCTCTCTCTTCTTGTGCAGGGTGAATGGTCTTGTCTCCGCCCCTCCTGTAATAAAGACCGGTCACTGCTGCTCTCTCTTCTTGTGCAGGGTGAATGGTCTTGTCTCCGCCCCTCCTGTAATAAAGACCGGTCACTGCTGCTCTCTCTTCTTGTGCAGGGTGAATGGTCTTGTCTCCGCCCCTCCTGTAATAAAGACCGGTCACTGCTGCTCTCTCTTCTTGTGCAGGGTGAATGGTCTTGTCTCCGCCCCTCCTGTAATAAAGACCGGTCACTGCTGCTCTCTCTTCTTGTGCAGGGTGAATGGTCTTGTCTCCGCCCCTCCTGTAATAAAGACCGGTCACTGCTGCTCTCTCTTCTTGTGCAGGGTGAATGGTCTTGTCTCCGCCCCTCCTGTAATAAAGACCGGTCACTGCTGCTCTCTCTTCTTGTGCAGGGTGAATGGTCTTGTCTCCGCCCCTCCTGTAATAAAGACCGGTCACTGCTGCTCTCTCTTCTTGTGCAGGGTGAATGGTCTTGTCTCCGCCCCTCCTGTAATAAAGACCGGTCACTGCTGCTCTCTCTTCTTGTGCAGGGTGAATGGTCTTGTCTCCGCCCCTCCTGTAATAAAGACCGGTCACTGCTGCTCTCTCTTCTTGTGCAGGGTGAATGGTCTTGTCTCCGCCCCTCCTGTAATAAAGACCGGTCACTGCTGCTCTCTCTTCTTGTGCAGGGTGAATGGTCTTGTCTCCGCCCCTCCTGTAATAAAGACCGGTCACTGCTGCTCTCTCTTCTTGTGCAGGGTGAATGGTCTTGTCTCCGCCCCTCCTGTAATAAAGACCGGTCACTGCTGCTCTCTCTTCTTGTGCAGGGTGAATGGTCTTGTCTCCGCCCCTCCTGTAATAAAGACCGGTCACTGCTGCTCTCTCTTCTTGTGCAGGGTGAATGGTCTTGTCTCCGCCCCTCCTGTAATAAAGACCGGTCACTGCTGCTCTCTCTTCTTGTGCAGGGTGAATGGTCTTGTCTCCGCCCCTCCTGTAATAAAGACCGGTCACTGCTGCTCTCTCTTCTTGTGCAGGGTGAATGGTCTTGTCTCCGCCCCTCCTGTAATAAAGACCGGTCACTGCTGCTCTCTCTTCTTGTGCAGGGTGAATGGTCTTGTCTCCGCCCCTCCTGTAATAAAGACCGGTCACTGCTGCTCTCTCTTCTTGTGCAGGGTGAATGGTCTTGTCTCCGCCCCCTCCTGTAATAAAGACCGCTCACTGCTCTCTGACCTGGCAGCGCCCCATCGGATGAGTGGCGGGCGACTTGAAGGTGCAGAATTCCAGAAGGGATCCATGGACCCGGGGTATAATTCCTTTCCTCACCCCCTCCTACCAGGGGTGGGCAAACTCCGCCCCCTCCAGCTGTGCTGCAACTACAAGTCCCATGAGGCATTGCAAGATAGACATTCACAGACATGACTCCCTGAGACCGGGGTATGATGGGATTTGTAGTTTCACCACAGCTGGAGGGGCGGAGTTTGCCTACCCCTGCCCTATGCAGACATTGATCTCCCCGTCTGTGTATGTGGTCCGTACACACTTCCATATGGCGCTTACACCCGGCACACACTGATCAATGTGCAACGCTCTGCAGATTCAATGAAGGGGACAGACTATTGCACAACTCCCCCCCCCCCGGTATAGCTGGAGGGGGCTGGACCACAGAAAGGAGA